CTGGCCTTAGCAGTGAAGACTGAAGCAAAGGCAGCATTCAGCAACTCTGCCTTCTCTATATCCTTCGTCACCAGGGCACCTGCCCCATTCAGCAGCGGGCCCACGTTTTCCCTAGTCTTCCTTTTGCTAATGATGTATTTGAAGAAGCCCTTCTTGCTGTCCTTGACATCCCTTGCCAGATCTAATTCCAACTGGGCCTTGGCCTTCCTTGTCGCATCCCTGCACACTGCCAGATTTAATTCCAAATGGGCCTTGGCCTTCCTCGTCACATCCCTGCGTACTCTGACAGTGTCCCTGTATTCCTCCCAAGTGGCCTGTCCCCTTTTCCACATTCTGTAGACTTCCTGCTCATGTTTGAGTTTTGCCAGGAGTTCCTTGCTCCTCCATGCAGGTCTCCTGCCCGCTTTGCTGGACTGCTTACTCAGAGGGATGCACTGCTCTTGAGCCTGGAGGAGGTGATGCTTGAATATTAACCAGTTTTCTTGGACTCCCCCCGCCCCCTTCCTTCTAGGGCCCTGCCCCATGAGATTCTGAGATTCCGCTAAGTAGGTCCCTGAAGAGGCCAAAGTTCGCAACCCTGGACTTCAGGAGAGCTATCTTACTTATTGCCCTGCTTCCTCCTCGTAGGATCCTGAACTCCACCATCTCATGGTCACTGCAGCCAAGGCTGCCCCCAACCTTCACATCTCCAACTAGACCTTCTTTGTTCGTTAGTACAAGGTCTAGCAGCACCCTTGTCCTTATTGGCTTCTCCACCACCTGTGTTAGGTCAGCTGAAGACTGTATCATCCTTATATTGTTACTGAATGAGCTTGTAAGACCCTGCACTTAAGTGGATGCCTATTTCTTTGTTTGGACATAAAGCGATACCATCCTGTATCCAATCCATATGAAGCTTGTAAAATTGTTTGGAACCTCAGTGGGCTGAGCCCTATCGATAAGTCATAACAATTATCAGTTATCTATCGTTTATTAATTTCTAGACTGCACTTGCAAAATAAATATAAGCAAAGTAGATGAATGGCTTTGTAAGTTATCTGAAAGGTGA